TTAATATTTCTATGTTGATGTTTGACATTTTCAACCTGAGTCGAGTGTATAAAATACAAGGATGTCATTTATAAGCATTGACTGGTTTATATAAAATTGCATATCACACTTTGAAAGTATTCATGGTTTCTAAATTCAGCATCACAACCATCACTTGCCAGTATCTGTTTTTAAGAAGCACTCTTCCTCAGTAGTGGGAAATTTCAACTAAGTTCTAAGGCCAACACTGTGGCACAGCCAGTCGGTTATGCTGTCCTCTGCAAAGCTAGCATCCTTTGGGGGGCAGTTTGAACCATGCCTACTCCATTTCAGATCCAGCTCTTTGCTGATGTGCCTGGAATAGCAGCTGCAGGAAGATCCAACTGCATGGGCCCCTGCCACCCATGTGGGAGACCCGGATGAATCTCCCAAATCCTGGATTCAGCCTTGCTCAGCCCCAGTCAGGCCATGTGGAGAGTCAAGTAGCAAATGGAAGAGCTCTTTTCTGTAACCCTGCCTTTCAGCTAAATGGATAAACCTTTAGGATTAAAAAAGCTTGTAAATTATTTTAAATCAAACCTCTTATATATGTGTGTGCATAATTTCAAGCACATTTCAAGAAAAACACAGTATCTAACAATTATCATACGTTCATGTTAAATACACAGTATCCAAATAGCCAATTATCTCATAAATGTCACTTTCTAAAAATCTTAATTGCACATATTTAAGGAGTATCATAGAATATTTCAATACATAGATATACCATGTAATAACTGGGATGAACATATCTGCCTCTTCAAGCATTGATTATTTTACTATGGTGAAAATATTTAAAATCTCTTCTTCAGCTTCTTTTTTTTTTTTTTAGAAAAACATAACTGTTATTCTTATATAGCTATTCTCTTGTGCCACAGAGCACCAAATGTCTTTTCTCTCATCCGATTCTACCTTAGTAACAATTAAACCTTTGAATTGCATCATTTGCTGATATCTTAAGTCTCTTAACATGAGTCTCTTCATTGGACCCAGATATAAGAATTCTGTGCTGCCTACTTGAAGACCTGTATATTCACCTGTTTGCTTAATAGTTCATTCAACAAATTTGTCAAGTCGTCACCATGCACCAGGCAGTGTCTTAGGTTCTGGGACAAAAAGGAGAAACAAAAGCCTAAGTATGTGTTCTCTCCAAGCTTAGAGGTCAGTGAGGAAGAGGAAAAAAAAAAAACAATCAATATATTTCTGTTGGTTAAGAGGGCTACAAAGAAAACCTAGATATGTTTTGAAAACAGCATGTCCCCAGGGTTGCTGTTGCAGTCTGCATGGCCAAGGGATGCTTCTCTGATGAGTTTAATACTGGAATAGAAATCTCAATGAATAAGGGAGCAATTCATAGGAATTGCTTGGGGAAGAAATTTCCAAACTGGAGGATAAGCAAAAGCAATGGCTGAAGGTAAGCCTGTGCCCAGCACAGTTGGAGAACGGCATCAAGCCAGTGTAACTGAAGCAGAGTGAGAGAAGCGGGAAAAGCTCGTCAGTTGTCGGCCTGTGGTCCAGGGGTGACATCTCTTCTGATGTTTTGCATCAACTGATGCCAAGGCAACAGCAGCGATACTCCATCTCCTCCACTCTCTCACTTCTTCCCATTGTTTTTTTGGTTTTTTTTTTTTTTTTTGCAAAGCAAGGTGGGGTGGGAAAGGCAATGAAACCACCTGTGTCTCTTCCTGTACCCTCACCTACACCACTTACTGCAGGAGAGCTCTGCGGTATACGTTAGATTTGTACATATTTGCACGTGTCCTCAGTTTCCTCAAAGGCTCACAGTGCATCTTAGCTCTTGGTACCTGAGTCTTGAATTGCAGTTTTCTTCTCATTTCACCAAGGTCAAAACATTTCTTCCCTATTGCTTATTCTTTTAGCTATGTTCAGTTATTCTTAGGGAGAAGAATATAACACAAGTGCTTTCACTCATCCATCTTGAAGATAAGTTTAGAGCAGATACATATGTAGATGAGCAGAACCTAAATTTCCCATTGTCTAGATTTTCCTATTTGAAAATTTGGGAAAATATGATCCACCAAGATCTAAAGACATAGAACACCTTTTAAAATCTTTAGCACAGGGTTGACATTAAATATAAAGTAGTATATATACAAAGGAAATAAACGTGGACACTAAAAGCAAATTTGTACCATGATCTTAATACTGAAGCTAAGAAATGATGAAAGGTAAATAAATGTAAAGATCCAAATGAAAATACAAATAGAGACTGACAACAAAACTTAACAGAATACATGTTAAGTTAATGCACTATTATTACTTTCAAGAGCATCTTATCTTCTAATTAATTAATTTAAGTGCTCACGTGCGGAGAATCTGTATTGGATGGGGTTTAGTAATTCTAATCCCCATGAAACTGTACAATAAAATTTAAAAATTCAAAATAAAATTTTTTTTAATAAAAATTTAACAAAAAAGTTTATAAGTGCTCTATAAGAATACTTTAGGTGACAGTGCTGTGACTTGGTGTGTTAACGCAACGCCTGCAACATGTACCATACAGGTACCAATCTGAGATTCAGCTCTGCTGCTCTGACCCAGTTCCCTGCTAATATGCCTGGGGAAGCAGGCCCAAGTGCTTGGGTCCCTGTACCCACATAGGAGAGCTGGTAGAAGCTCTTGGATGTTGGCTTCAGCCTGGCCCAGGTGTAGCCAATGCAGCCTTTGGGAAGTGAATCAATGAATGGAAGATCTCTTTCTACCTCTTCTTCTCTCAATAGTTCTATCTTTGAAGTAAATAGAAAATTCTTCTGAATCACCTATATTTATAAGTTTTTTCAAAGAGTTAACATGATCTTCAATCTCAATTATACAAGCAACTTGGTAAACCATTTTGTCATAAATGTAAAATTCAGTTTAGTCTGCCAGGTGTGATGGCCTAGTGGCTAAAGTCCTTGCCTTGCACATACCAGGATGCCATATGGCCACTGGTTCTAATCTCGGCAGCCCCACTTCCAATTCAGGTCCCTGCCTGTGGCCTGGAGAAGCAGCTGAGGATGGCCCAAAGCCTTGGGACCCTGTAACCGCGTGGGAGACCCAGAAGAGGCTCCTGGGTCTGAATCAGCTCAACTCTGGACATCGCAGTCACTTGAGGAGTGAATTGATAGACAGAAGATCTTTTCTGTCTCTCCTTTCTATATATCTGACTTTGCAATAAAAATAAATACTTTCATTTTAAAATTTTATTTCAAAAATTCAGTTTAGATCATACTAAATTTTCAAACTACTGAGTTAATGAACTCAATGATTAAAACTGCAAAAGACTGTTAATTTTTATTGAACATTTAATAACAAATATTACATCTAACTGCTCTTCATATGGAGACAAATAAGTGGATCAGAATACAATCTGCACATACTCATGGTTACCCTAAACACAGAATAGAAGCAATGTGGCAAAGTAATATAAATAATAACAAAAATGAACAAAGTACTGTGGCAACAAATGGCAGAGGCAATTAACTATTCATAGAAAGGGTATGATTGAACTAAATGAAGCAATGTGGCAAAGTAATATAAATAATAACAAAAATGAACAAAGTACTGTGGCAACAAATGGCAGAGGCAATTAACTATTCATAGAAAGGGTATGATTGAACTAAATCATAGAAACTGAGCAAGAGCTCATTTGGCTGATACTGGGCTAAACTGGACTTTATTTCTAGGAAACACTCTAGGCATACAGAAGAGAAAGCAAAAGACAGTCGGCTGAGTGCTCCAAGAAGCTCAACATAGTTAGAGTACAGTGGGATGTGAATATGGGCATGCTGAAGGTGAGGCTTGTTTAGAAAAGACACATAAGTCAATTATAGAAAGCTGATACGTTGGTTATCAATAAACTCCTGTTTAGCAGCGAGTAGCACAGTTTTAGAAACATTACCAAACAGTGTCATGTAGGAATGCATACATATTGTTTTCTTGAGATTGATGCATTTGCTTGAACGGCAGAGCTTGAGAGAGAGAGAGAGAGAATCTTCTATTCTTTGATATACTGGCTAACTCCACAAACATTCTCCAAATGGCTACAAAGGCCGGGGCTGGGATAGGCTGAAGTTAGAAGCCAGAAGATTCATCTGGGACTCACATGTGGGCAGCAGAGACCAAAGCACTTGAGTCACATTCCACCGCCTTTCCAGGCTGATCAGCAGAGACCTCGATCCAAAGCAGCTGGGAACCAACCAGGGCCCATACGGGATGCATGTGTTGCCACTGGTGGCTTAACCTCCTTTATGGGAGAATAGGAGCAACAGAATATTAAGGATTTGGGAACTGTGTGCTTTTCAGAGATGAAGAGGTCTTATTGGGAAAAAACAGCAATGCTATTAACTGAGCTATAAAAAAGAGCAAAGGAGCAAAGATGAATGTGGAAGACACAAATATTTTACAACGAAATACGAGGTAAAAACATGCAAAGCAAAGCAAAACCCCACAACTTGAGGTAAGGAAAGGAAAAGCAGGTCTAAAAATTTAAATAACACAGTCATAACAAGCAGATACTCAAAACTCCAAGAACTATGAAGTTATGATTTTCCCATATTAAGAAAAACACTATATACATTTTTATAAAGATTTAAAAGCATCTTAACTATTGAAAAATGCATTTTTCACTGGAAGAATATACAATAAAAGCAAACACCCCACCACAGGGACCTAACTCCTTTCCACAGAGCCATTATCAGTAATATTTTTAAGCATTTCTGCAATCATACACAAAATGTTTGTAAGCACACAATTACACACATACACATCTCCTTTAAACAGCACATTAAAAAAACAATTTGCAAGATCTACTTTGTTGCTTAATATTATTTTAGTAGTTATATTTACAATGGCAACATTATAAGTAAATTTAAAAGTCATTAGTTCGCAAATTATTTTCAATTTTAATTTGGCCAATAAATTCAATGGCAGAGTAATGATCTAAAACAGAATCCCACTATTTCCTCTTCTTGAACACTGACCTTTAAAGTATTCCTTGGATAACAGGTTCTGAATGTGTCAGCACAACAGGGCCCATTCCCCTGACGGCACTTCACTCAAGACTTGAAATCTGGGCTCCAACTACAAAGAGGAAAGGGAAAAAAATGTGAATTAATCTATAATTTGGAATATCTACTCCACCTGAGAAGGCTAAGTCCATTAATTATCCTTATGTGAGAGATATTCAACCCTGGTTGGCCACTGGATCAACCTGGAGATTTTACATATTTTTCAACTTTATTTTTATTGAAAAGGTAGATTTACAGAGAGGAGGAGAGATAGAAAGATCTTTTGTCTGCTGGTTCACTCCCAAAGTGGCCACAATAGCCATAGCTGAGTTGACCCAAAGCCAAGGAGCCTCTTCTGGGTCTCTCACACAGGTACAGGGTCCCAAGGCTTTTGACCATTGTCCACTGCTTTCCCAGGCCACAACCAGGGAACTGGATGGGATATGGAGCATCTGGGACACAAACTGGGACCCATATGGGATGCCAGAGTATGCAAGGAAGTAGCCCATAAGCCATCATGCTGGGTCCCAACTAGGAAACTTTGAAACAATAATGTGATGCTCAGAAGTCACTTCATTCACATCTCAACTCCCAGGGCTGGAGCCCAAGCATGCTTGTAACAGTTCTCTGTAGCCTTAAAGTGTGTCTAGGACTGACATTACTACAGAAAACTTAAGATCATGTGTTATCAAGTTCAGTCGCAGCATTTTTTACTAAATCATGTTCAAATATGGGATTTTTTTTCAAAGTACCTGTGCAAAGGTGACTCCAAATTACTCTAATTTTCCTAGCACAGGACAAAATAACATTGGAGACCTCTCCAACCATACTCAATAGGTGTCTTCTTCACATCTGGAGAAAAGAAGAGTCCAAGACCCTGGAACACGTATTATGCAAGTAGCAGAAATTGCATTAAATTGTCTCAAATTATAAAAGAAAAGTTAAAAACTTAGACAATCAAACCCACACAAAAATTTAACTGAATGACAAAAGGTACAATTACTGCTTAAATGCAAAATTCAGAGGTCAAGTAAACAAGCTTCCCTCCAAACAAGAGGCATGGCAGAGCTTAGACGTATATAATTCAACAATGCATCTACTTGCTCTCTGTGGCAATTTAAACTTTTAGTGTGCCTAAACGGATAAGTAAAAACACCCACTCCTAAGGTTACATTTGCCACACCTGAAGTGCTCATTAGCACTACGTGGCTAGCTACTATCATACGAAGAGAAAACCAATACAGAGCATTTCAACTGTGGCTGAAAGTTAGTGCTGGGTCAGAGAGAAATAAATCCTTGAAATATCAGAGTAAATTTGTGACACACACACACACACACACATACATTTCCTGTGTATTTTAGCAAGTGATCTATGCTTTCTACTGGATTATCAAGGGAGATCCTAATCAATCTCACACAAATCATTCAAATGCTAGTGCCCAAGTCCACAGAAGTAGGAAAGAGTCCATTTTCCGAATAAAGATCTCTTCGATAAAGCACATCACATCAGCAGTAGCACTCCTCACCCACAGCCATAACCTTTCAACCATCACATCAAGACAAGAGGGCCTGCTCTCAGGACAAACTGTTCTTCCCACATCTGTGATGTTGTTCAATCCTGCTGCTTCACTGACTTTTCAGAAGAAAAAAAAGAAAAACATAAACCATAACCAGAGACACACCTACTTTGCTTTATTCATCAATTTCATTAGCTACTGATACACTCAAAAGTGGCTTGCCTTCCTTTCAACATCAACTTCTCACTTTTGTGGCCCAGGGAATCAAAACAAAATGGAAAGCTAATTGTGGATCCCACAGACCAAGCCAACCAACCACCTGCAGGATGCTGGTTCTAAGAAGGATACTTGGTTATCAACCCAAGATTTCATACCTATGTTGTCATCACAAACCAGTGCAATACAGAGGATGAGGTAGATGAGCGCTGATGGGTGAAGACTACGGGTTTGGCTTCCACACTGAAAATGTCTCATTTGGGCAAATGCACATCCTTCTAAAGAAGAGATTTTATGACACATTGTGACAACCGCTCATTCAGTTATATTCAGTGTTTAGAAAATTAAAATCCGCTCTTTTTGATTTTCAAACCTCAGTAGCTCTCACTTTGATTATCTGCTCCTGCTATATGGCTTAAAAAGGCAACATTCCTAAAATGTCTCATATTTCTTAACTAATTCAAATAGTTTAGGGTTTATACTTCGAAGTCACAGGATCACACATGAATACGAATAAAAGTAAAAGACAAAAATAGATACTCAATGTAAGAAAAGACCAAAGCTTGTCTTATAAATTATAGGATCCTGTTTTGTGAAGTACAAAGTCTGCATTCAATAATGTTCCATAGTTCAAACACTCCTACAGTAAGAAACTAAAGCATGGCAATTTACCTTGCAATTAAACACATTTTAATTATTTACCTGGACAATCCCATTCCTAGGGTTTTTGTTTTGATGTTTTGTCAATAGGAGTTGGTAGATTATGGTCATGTGCCTAATATGCCCTATTGCCTCTTTTTCTAAATAGCATTTTATTTAAATATTGCAACACATACTGTCTGCTTGCTTGCATACAACACCACAACAGTGGCAACCAAGACCACATGCATAAAATGCTTCCTACTCTGTTACAGAAAAAGCATATTGACTATTGCCCTAGAGAAGTGAAAACTTACATTCACACAAAACCCCTACACACAAATTTACAGCAGCTCTATTCATCAGGATCAAAAAGTAAAAGTGCCCAAATGTCCACACTCAGGTAAATGGATGCTCAAATGGAGACATACCCACACAAGTCAACCACAATCCAACAATCCAAGGGGAACGGATTACTGAGACATGCAATAACCGGGTTGATTCTTAAAAGCACTACGTTAAGCGAAAGAAAACCAGTTTCAAAAGATTATAGGCTATATGAATCCACCTGCATGGCATTCTTTTGAAATAAGGCAATAATCCTGATGAAGACAGGCTAGTGCTTGCTAGGATTAGAGGTGGGGGGAAGACTGTGACTATGAGGGAGAGGGCAGGGAAGTGTTCTGAGTGATATACAACTATGCTGTGTCTTCCTATCATGGGGTAGTGGTTACATTAATCTCTGTGTGTGTCAGAACCCACAGAGCTGTATCCCCAGCCTTTCTGTTTTACTTCAATAGGAAACTGTTGAACAGTGTGATAGTAATTTTGTAGATTCTGCCATGACAGAAGATCTGAGGCGGGGAAGTTTATAATGACAGAAATTAATTCCCGTGTGGTTCGAGAAACAGGAAATCCCAGATCAAGGCGGTAGTGCTGCAGGGCTGCTTCGCCGCTGAATCCTCTGGAGGGGACAAGTGTTGTGTCCTCACATGGCGGAGGTGAAACACAGAGAACCTCTTCTATAAAGGCTTCAGTCTCACATTCGGGGTGTGGGGTGGCCCTTAGCCCCAAATCACCTCTTAAAGGAGTCATCTGTTAACATCATTGCTCTGGCCATTAAATTTCAACCTCAAAGTTGAAAGTTGAAGGTGGTCTAAGAGAGGACACATTCATAGTCCAGCAGACAGATTACAGAAATACAACCAACAAACAGGGAAACAAGCTCTAAACATCAAGGCAAAGAATGTGAGAACTGGCAGAGGAAGATCAGAATCAGAAAATGTTGCCTAGGACATAATATGCTTGGGTTTTATTCTTTGAAGAATTCATCACAGAGAACTAAATCAAAAACCCAGCTTAGTATTTCTCTGTGATTTTTCTGTGTGCACAGTTTGACAGGTTTATATCTGAGAGTGAAAAAAAAGGCCCTTGGATATCATATTTCCCCTGTCACATGTGCCATACTACGTGAAGAAATACTGCAATTGAAATTATCTCTGAGTATTTCCAATCTATTCTCCTGATTAGCCATGAACAGAAAGGCGTGGTGGATAAGTTGTCAGCTCTTCTCATACACTCAGCTCTCTCCCACTCCCATCTGTCTGGGAAAGCTGGCATCTTAGTCCACAAACACAGAGAAAGGCAATGCCACTTAGTTTAGTTCAGCACATACTCTGCAATTTTTCCTCAGAGTCAGACCTGCAGACTGTCCATCAGCAATCCATACATGTTACCCAGAATTAATAATATATAAATCTGACAAATGCAAACAAGGATCAGGGGAAACAACAGTTACTATTTAGTACCCTCACAGGAAAAACAATGAAAACGCATACAAACTAGCTATATATTTAGTGTAAATAAAACAGGTTAAAAAAAAAGAGGAAAAAAATCAAAATATGAAGATGTCTGTGCTAACAAAATCTGCTTTCATTGTGTCTAACTAATCAACCTTGCTTCAAGATAAAATCTGGAAGACAAAGAGCTCAGGAATGACCACTAATCTTTAAATGATTTACATTGACATCAAAGAGGGTTTTTTTAAAAGCAAAATAATTTTCTTACCATGACAGTACATCCAAAACTTTCTTGCATTTTGAGGCAATTATTAAATATCAGCAAAATTTTTTACCCTTGTCTCTTCAAAAGGAAAAAGGCTTTCTTTGTCCTTCTTGAATAAGGTCTTGCTTTGAACAAATAGAATATGAGCAGGGATATCAGGTGGTCCCCGGAGTTAGGTCCCAACAAGCATTCAGATTCTGGCTCTGCCATTTACAAACATGTCTCTTTCAGGTTAACAATAAAAACCCAATAGCTTCTCCCCACCTCTGGCAGTCCTCAAACTCTCCCAGGGGATGTATGCAATCAGAGTTTAAAACTGAAACAAATAAAGTTAATTATGTTGCTGCTTGCATGAAAGTCAGAAACTGCTACAACCAACCCAAATCACAAAGGATAGAAAAATGTTTCGAAGAAAACAAAGGGTCTTACTCAAGTCAAATAAAATCGCCATTTTTGCTAGGACAGAAAGGGCAAAGTCTCAATAATTTTGATGCCTCAATCTAATACAAGAAATATGTGAGCACAGAAATATAAGTGAAGAGGCATTCTTTTACTATTAGAAATTAAAATAAATTTATACCTCACAAGTGTGATGAAAAAAGAAAGCGGTCAAAACTGCTCTACAATTGTGTTACCA